GATGTTAGCAAGCTAACGCAAATGAGCTAGAGGCCAGAGTTAAATAACAGACTCCAGGCAGTCAAACACCGGCCTCATAACATTTAATGTAACAGTTATATCATCTATTAAAAACCTCTTTGATTTTTCTAACTAGACAGCGATCCCCGTAATACCCTCAATTCTGAAACTTTAGAAAGAAGCTTATACTCGAGAAATTCTATGCGTAAAGCACGAGTAATATAGTCTGATAACTTAAGTTGTTTGTTAATCACTGCTTTATTATAAAGTGATTGCAATGTAAGTGCTGTTGTGTGTGAGCTGTGCTCTGTGCAAAGATGGAGGAAGTCATAATGTCAGGGGAACTAGATCATTATCATTATGGGAACTGGGACACTATCATTAGACTCTCTAACTGAACTCTTATGAGGGCTCACTGGGTACAACAGACACAACACCCATCTCACCTCTCATATTAGTTTGTGATTGCTCTACTTACAAATACTATATCTTGTCAGTATATAAATGAGTCAATTATGCCCTTCATGTTATTTGAAATCAGTTTTGTAGTGGGCTGACAGTTATACCTTTAAGCACCACTTAACTGTAATTTTTTTTTGCACCGTTGTATGATTTTCATACATCTTTACAAAATTACACTATTAAGGTCACTGTTCCATACTGATGTGATATTGTTTTGCCTCAGGGGAATCGGTGGAAGGGCTGAGAGAAAATGACTACCTCTTGATTCATTCATGCCGGCAATGGACCACAATTACCGCCCATAGCCTAGAGGAGGGCCATTATGTCATCGGACCGAAAATCGAGATCCCTGTCCATTATGAGGGTAAGGCCACTCAGTTGTTGTAGTGCAGCATGTACTGTATCTAGAAATGTCTTTAGTTCTTTCTGACACTATGTATTTTCAAAAAGAAGGCAAAAGAAAGAAAAGTTAGTCTGCTAAGATTCACTGTTTTCTTGCTACTTATTAAAACAGAAGTAGCAAAAATGTGCTGCTGTATTTCCCATCTGCTTTTAGTTGGAGTGCATTAGCTAATTGGTCTCTTCATAATTGACATTCCTCTGGCTATGGAGAGGGTCCAGTTGGCCACTTAAGGAAAAAAGACCTTCCTCTGAATTTGGATTTGTTTCGGTTCATACAGACCTAGCAAACTGTCTATTTTATGTACTTATTGCACTGTTGCAGCATTTTTAGATAATTTGGCAAAACGTTTTTTTTTTTTCAGTTCAACGTGCCCAAATTGAAATAATTACTTTTATTTCTTTACTTTGAACTGAAATGGCCAAACAACATCTACATGAAATGATGTATATTTTACATTTTTTTAAAAAGTAATGTATATATAATATGAAAGCATGGCAATGATGTCATGAGGTTACAAAATTGCTCTGTTTGCTGTTTGTTACAGGCCAGTTTAAGCTGCTGGAGCAGGACAGGGACTTTAAGGAGCCAGTCCAGTACTTTAACAGCGTGGAGGAGGTGGCCAAAGCATTCCCTGAGCGAGTTTATGTCATGGAGGAAATAACCTTCAATGTCAAGGTCTGGTTTTGTGCTTGCAGCAGGCACTGTTTTTGATTTAGACCCCCTGCACTAATGTATCTTAGTATTGGTATAACCTAATATGCCTTAATCAGAATGGTTCTCAGGCATTGTGTGTGTAATGTGAAATATCTATTCAACATTTCAAAATTTATAGCAGTCCAAGGTCTTCTGTAAGACTAGCATTATTTAGAATACATTTTTAGTTTAGCTGTTCAAATTGCTGTCTTCATTCTCCCAGATGGCGTCAGGAGAATCCAATGAGGACACGGAAGTGTACAACATCACGCTGAGCACTGGGGATGAGCTGACACTAATGGGCCAGGCTGAGATCCTCTATGCCAAAACATCACGAGAAAAGTCACGCCTCAACACAATCTTCAAACGCATCGGCAAGCTTAACTCCATCAGTAAGCATGGCCGCGGAAAGATGCCCTGCCTTATCTGCATGAACCACCGCACCAACGAGAGCATCAGCCTGCCTTTCCAGTGCCGCGGTCGCTTCAGTACCTGCTCCCCACTGGAGCTACAGATGCAGGAAGGAGAACACACTATTCGCACAATTGTGGAGAAGACCAGGTTACCTGTGAATGTCATGGTGCCCAGCAGCCCACCACGTAATCCGCATGACCTCCATTTGATCCGTGAAGGCCACCGATACAAGCTGGTCAACATCCAGACCAAGACAGTGGTGGTGTGTTGTGCATTACGTTCGAACAAATTACTGCCAGTGCACTTCCCTTTGCACGTGTCCACAGCACTGCCTCGTTTACTGGTGCCTGAAGGGCTGCTTCAAGGAGAAGCCTGGCTGGAGACTGTGGTCCACCGCTGGTTTGCTTACTGCCAGGAGCAGTTCGACATTGACGACTACTCTAGGGCAGTCCGTGATGTGCGGGTGGATTGGATTGAGGATGGCAAAAGCCCGAAAAAAAGTAGCGCAGGTGGAATGGGAAGTGGGAGTGCCATCTGCAACAGCAGCGAAAGCGATGGCTGCCCCTCACATGTGAATTTGCCAAGTTCTCTAAGCTCAGCCCGAGATGAGCTCACACAGTCATTTCATCGCCTGTCTGTCTGTGTCTACGGTAACAATCTCCATGGGAACAGCGAGGTGAATCTTCAGGGTTGCGTAAGCTTATGTGGAGATTGTGTGCCAGCAGAACCTCCGGATGCAGATTATCTGTTCCCTGAGCTGCAGGAGAGTTCTTCTGGCTCCCTTAAACCAGATGTGCTGTACGAGGAACTTTGGTTGGATCATGTTATGAACCCTGGATGTGTGCTAGACCACATCGAGGGTGTCCGAAATTCAACTGTCTCTGGCTGCACGACTGTACTGCCATACCCCACAGCAGGCCCCACAAACGCCTTGCTTGGTGCAGATGTCAATCTACCTCCACCTCCGGTGCCTCCAAAGTCTGAAGCTGTGAGTTCATTTATACTAGATGAATCTTAATATTCTGAATCAAAATTATTTTTAAAAATCCTTAACCAGTAAAACTCACACTACTGGAAGAATCACTGCTTGAACTACTGCTCGAATGGGAACCCTGATATCAAGTTTACATTAAAGTGTTTGTAGAAATCCTCATTCATTGACTCTCCCGTTTAAAAAAAAAAAAATCCATGATTTTAAGGTTATTTGTCTGTTTTCCACTCTCAGATAAGGCAAAGTTTATTCTGGACTTACATAGTGACTTATTTGTGTACTCTGTTGGTCAGTCACTACAGGTCTAATTATTTTCCAAGTAGGAGCAAAGGTTACATTTAGTATGTTTTCAAGGTCTATTTGATCAATTTGCACAGCCTGTCTCAAGAAATCTATATCTGTGTTCATTCACTCCCCCAATAAAGTAATTGTAATATTCACATTTCTAGAGCATACAGTTTTTTTTTCTTGTTGCCTTTGCAGGTGAAGGAGGAGTGCCGGTTGTTGAACGCTCCACCTATTCCACCGCGGAGCTCCAAGCATGCAGGCTCAAGCAGTGCCACAGTGCCATACCCTCCTGCCAAGCCACGTCAGACAGAAACCCGCTCCCCAAGCCCAACACTATCCTATTATTCATCCGGCTTACACCACATGTGAGTTATGCACTGTTTTGATTGACAAAATGGATATTGGTTTTATGTGAACTGCACTACTTATGACTGAACGATCCTCTTCTCCCTTCCCTCTTCTCCATCTCTCAATAGAGGTGGAGAGGGTGAGTCTCAGAGTGAGTCAGATGATCAGAACCATGCATGTTACCCATGTAACTGGATCAGACCAGATGCCAGTGAAGGCTCCAAGCCTCACCCTTGCCTCAATCCTTCGGTCAATGCCTCTTTCTCCCGCCTTTCCTGGCCAAACGATTTCTATGGTGCAGACTCGTATAAAGGTGAGGACTTCCCGACGATCCACTGCCGGAGTTATTCTAGTTATCCTCGGAAGAGGACCCCTGGTACTCCTAAGGCTTGTCCCTCAGGTTTGTTAGACTTCAACAGGCAAGCAAATAGTGAGGGGGGCGCTGCGGCCTCCAAGGCTCAACAGGTTTCCCAGTCTGCCCAGTTTTGCACCAGATCCACCAGCTACACCATGGAAATGTGCAGAGACAAATCCACAGAGGAATGTAACACTAAGCAAAACCAGTCCTGCCCTATCTTGCCTCCAAGACCCCATAAATGTAACGATACAAAGAAAGATGCAGATCCCGCTACTACAGTCACAGCTGATGTGGATGTTCTGGAACTTGAGTCCAAAAGCTGCTCGCTCGATCGACCGCATCACGGCACTACAGATGTGTTTCCCATTTCGTATCCTGTAGCTACAGGGTTGTCTTGGCAGCCACCAAGCAATCTATCAGGTATCTCCATTGAGGAGGTCTCTAAGTCACTACGGTTCATTGGTATGTCAGATGATGTTGTCTCTTTGTTTGTGCAGGAAAAAATTGATGGAAATTTGCTCCTGCAGCTAACCGAGGAGATTCTGTCAGAAGACTTTAAGCTAAGCAAACTTCAAGTGAAGAAACTCATGCAGTTTATAAATGGCTGGAGGCCCAAAATGTAAGGCTGAACAAGCAAGTCAGTCCAGAGCAAAACACATGCAACTTGCTGGAGCGATGCAGCCGTAAATATTGGCCTTCAGTATTGCATTAGACAGTTTTGTATCTCAATGCTATGCAGTCTTGTAATGATTTTAATAGCCATTTTGTTTAATATATACATGTATATAAATCTATATATTAATTGCTTTGTGTATTAACCTGTACCCATCTCTATGTAATCTCTGACCTTATGGTACCTGCACAACAGACTTTTATTTGCTCAAACCCAAAGCCTTTGAAAAACCTGAAGATATTTTGACCCAAACTGTGGCCTACATTTCTTTGGTTGTTGATCAATAAAGATGATTGACTTGATTAGGTGGTTTTTATTACTTGAACAAATCTTTTTTGGTTTACCATTTTGAGAAATAATATTTGCACCTCATTCAAATTAAGTTATCCTTTACCAAGTTGTGACACCAAACACGGTGGTAATCACACTAGCTCACTTTAGATGAAAATGCTCCCAGCAACATAATCTTTACACTAGTGATTAATGAAGGCTGATGTGTCCAAAAATAAAAGTGGAGAGGATGAAGAGTCAACAATTTCATATCAGATTACGTTGACTTTGTATACTTTATGACAATTTTGACATGTATAGATGCTTTATTTGATGACTAGTTTCCTTCAAAGCAGTGCAATGGAATATGACAACTGTGTTGTTCAGTTTATCAACACAAGGTCTGTTTAGTTTAATCTATAGTATCTAGCAGAACATTACTACAAAACCGTGCCATATGACAGCAGTTGTGGTTTTGAAAGCCTGGTCTTCACACTTTGAAAAAGGGGTTGAAAAAAAAAAATACAAAAACCACATGAACTTGTTTCATTGTTACCTACTATTTGGTTCAAACCCATGGTTCCCAGCCTATCCACACCCTGCCCAGTATATTGGGGTCAGTTGCCTGATCGAGCAAGCAGTCTACCTGATCTTCAACACTCAGGTCTTTCTCATTGTGTTGAGCTCGTATGTTGTGTTCTTTTTCGCCTCGGGCAACAGCCAACATTTCCTTATATTCTGGGGTCTTCTCAAATCCAAGACAGAGCTCCTCACTAAAACATCAACAAACCAACATGGTTAGAAATGTGTTTTCTGGAAATTACAACTGGTATGTTTTGTCATCCGTAAAACTATTCTGAAGTCTTCACAAGAATTAGGAAAAAAACTATATTCATTTAATGCAAGTGGTTGAACTTAATTACAAATGATCATGATATGCTGCCAATGTAAGTGTTAAATGGTCATGTATATTTGCCAGAAATCCACAAAAATGAGAGTTGTGTGGTTGGATCTACCTACCTTGTTATAACCGAGGGATTGGCTCCCTCTAGCTTCCGGCGAGCAAAGTTGACCTTCTGTAGAGGGAACCAGTTTATTTTTTTGGTGTTCACACTCTCTGTCCAGGTACCTCTTTTCTTCAGCTGCTTCAGCTCAAAGTTCTGTAACATGAGAAATAGTGCCGTTGTCTTTCACAATTCAGTTAGCCTGTCTCTTTGATAATGACTCGATGTCTAAGCCTCAATTCTTAGGTGGGGAAAAATGGAAAATGTTAAACAGGTCTACAATGAGGGCAGATCACTTTGATGATTACATTGAGGGCTACCTGTATGTGGCAATAAGGAAAGCAAGCTATTTGTTTCTGTTTGCATGGTTATAATCTGCTTTGAGTTCTTCTACCTTCCAGTCGAGTGAAGGCTCCTTCACAAACACATCCATGGTGTTGAGCAGCAGGTCTGGGTCATCTCTGAAGGCACGTAATGAGTGTACCATCACACTCTGGATGAGACCAGACTCTGCCATGGGTCGCATCAAGTTTATAAACTGCCGTGTCAGCCTAAATGGCATCAGTTCAGGCACTGGGAGGAACTACATGCAACATGTAAGACAGGTTATTGTTCTTAACTCTTAATTAAATCATCAAGTCAAGCTGTTCATCAAACTTGTGTCTATATTGGTACAGCAACTGTTTGTACCTGTACTTGTCACCTTACAGAATCATTGAACGGTCAGTCAAACAAACTACTGAATACCAGACAAAAAGCCCACCTGTGTGGCTGATCCAAAAGCATGACCGAAGTCGATGCCAATCATACCACCAGTCTCTGTGTTATGCAAATCTTCCCACATCGTGACGTAGACATGTGGGGGCGTGTTAGAACGAGCCGTTTTAGGTAGGTGTGGTTGACTCTTAACTTTTATAAAGAATATCTCTTTGGATTTGAGACTTTAGTCTTTGCAACTTTACAGATCTTCTTTATGCACCAAGAGCTTGTAACACTCCAAAGAGAAAGGAAAACTTGAAATCGCATCATATGACCCCTTTAAAGACCCCAAAAGACCAGTTAAAGACAGGCCAGCACACAAGTTGAGTCATGAGAAGCCCATCCTAGTACCTGCTAGTGATGGGAATGACCTGGTAAGTGCAGAGTGCCAGGCTCCGCTGAGAACAGGCAGTGTCCTGATTGAGAATCATGTTCATCACGCCAAAGAGCTGCTCGATGCGCTGGTCCTGTCGCAGGTCCTCGCCACCCTTCACTAGGAACGGATAATCCCGCTCGTCATCTCCTCGAATGATGATGCGCTTTGGCCGACGAATAGATGTCATAACCTTTACCTAAGGTTGAGAAGATGAACTGTTACACACTGAAATAATCATCTCAAAATGACATCTTATAATAAGAACATTATTCCTCATACCCTTTCGTCAAAACCTGTGATATTTGCATGATATTCTGGCAAAGGCTTCGATTGGCCATCATATTGACCTGTAGAGGAAAAACCAGAGCCAGAGAAAAAGACACTTAACACTAAATGCAGAACTTTAATGAAGTAATGAGAAACAAGTGACATTATATACAAAAATGTTCTGAACTTACCTGGTACCTCCAGTTCATTTTTGAGTGTTTCTGCTTTGAAGCTGCTAAGCCAGGGTGAATATTCCTTCATGTTCCCTGGTTCCTTTTGGAAACCTCTCATTGAGATAGCAAGGCGGTCCACCTTCTGAAGGAACTCCTTATCTTTTCGCCTTTCATACAACTTGGACCCACCAGCACCAAGCAGCTTCTCTACTTCTTTACAGTATTTCTGCAACAAGGACATAAAAATGTAACAGTAGAATAGAAGTATGTAAGAAATACAAAGAAACCAGCGAAGGCCTGACTAATGATCTCATTAGAGTTTTATTTCAATTAATCATGCAGCCCTAAGTATTCTAAGTTGTGAACCTGAATGAATTTTCTTCTGAAAGATCCAAATCCTGGAGACTTAGAATCACCAAGCATTCCAACCATTTCCTCATAGAGCTGCTTCATTTTCTTTTTGTCCAGGTCTGGTTTGTCCAGTTGATTCTTCATCTCATCCCACCAATCCTGCCAAACCATTACTTGAGAATCAAGACTACCACAATAGCACCATAAAAATGTAATGTCTCAGTAAGTTAAGGGTAACTTAGAATTACTGTGCCATAGCAGCACCACCTGAAACTGCAATCTGTTCAAGCAGCTTGAATCTCAAAACTGGCATAACCAATGGATCTTTCAAGGAAAAATAATTTTGTACCTTGAAAAGCATTTCAGGGTTAGTAAGTTGCTGAAGGGCGTCTACAAACTCTTGGACGACACCACCTTTATCCAGTAATGACTTCAGCCTGGAACACAAACAACACATTGTCAGTACCAGGAAGGTCAAATCCTCTTACACAGCTGCACAGTACTTTACATACTTTTCAACAAACTCCCGGTTCCTCTGACCACTCGCAGATTCCTCAAACGTGTAGTTCTCACTGCTGATCATGTACGGGTAGATGAGGGCTTGTGGATAGCATTCAGCGATCTCCTCTATAACATGCTGAACTGCTGTCGCCTGTGGCTTGTCAAGCAGTGCCATCATTTGACTGATCCAGCCAATCAGCATCCAGCAAGGCACACTAACAACCTACCAGGACAAAAAAAAAAACATGAGAGAAGCAGCTTGCTCAAAAATTAATACTTCATGAAGAAGATGAAGGATCAAGCATCATTACATGATTCACCAAAGTAGTTGTTTATGGTGGCCTTGTACATTCAGATTGACCTTTTCTTCTAAAAATATCTAATCTCTAAATATTGATTTAACTCGTTTTGTAAAAAGATTTTGTTCAGCGCTTCCGGACACTCTGATTTCCGCTTTGCATCAGGCTTTATTTTGCTATAATGACTGGCTGACCCATACTGTACATGAGCCCTAAAATCAAAGCAAATGATCTTCTCACACCTCTCTGACCATCAGGTCCTGGATCTCTGCAGGGTACAGTTCTACTAGCTGCAATAGACGAGGAAATTTGAGCCTGGCCTCATCCGAGTGGAGCTTCAATGCCTTCAGCATCATCTTCACTACATGTCCAGGCAAGGACTGCAGTTTAGAACTGATTGCTAGAATCAAACATCAAAAGTGTTGTTATAAGCACATCAACTTCACCTGCAACCCAATACTTGGATGCATTGAATCACAAAAAGACATTATAAATCCTGTGAGACACTCATAGGGTGCTCTTCATTAGTTTTAACTTTCTACTAGAATTATGAGAACAGTTGGGTGCTGCACAGTTGCCTCACCCTCTTCTTTTTGTTCACTATCTCTTAGTCTTCGGTCACAAAAGTTGACCAAGGTCATGTAGGCCTCCACAATACCACGTGTGTTCACATGCTGCTGGCCGAAGGACTGCTCTTCCTCTTCTGCCTTACGTGCAGCACTTCGCAACATCTCCAGAGCCTGCATCTGCAGACCCTCCACCACCTAAGCAGAAAAAAAACACCCAACAATTATCATGATTCAGAGGTCATTAAAACAGCTTTTTAATAAATCTGTATAGATTAGCATTATTAATTTGTGCACAAACTGTAAGAATCTATCCTTGATACCAAAGACTGCATACACTTCAAGAGTAAGTCATATTTGTAAATAAGTGTATTTGCAACATGGTGCTGTTTCTTGCTCTTTTCATATTGAGGACATTAAAAATGTGCAGCTTAAATGCAAAGCTAAACATCTTTATATCAGCTTATTAAAAACATGACCAATTCTACAATAGCAATTACCTAATTGTGCTTTCAATAAACAATATATCCCAAAAAGCTACATTTAAATAACTCATTACCTGGGTGATGGATGAGGCCCCTGACAGTTGGAGAATCTTCTGTACTTTATCTTCCCCGAGAGTCTCCACAGCAGAAGGACTGCAATCCGCAGCTCTGGCCATGAGGTCATAGGTGGTGCCCAGAAGGATCTTCTGGTCACAGAGTATTCGAGCAGATGAGCCTTCACTCTGTCTACCAGCATCAACTGTAAAATAATGTGTCTACCATGAAAATCGCTCAATACTCTGGTATTACACTGGTAACCTAAACTTATTTTCAGCAAAAATTCAATACTTGAAAAGTAAGCCTGGTTTAGGGGTTGAAATTATGTGTATTCTATATGACAGGGGATCATTCATACTCAGAAGTGGAACAGTCTTGAGCAAAGCATTAATCTTTTCAGCAGATCCAAGGCCAGCGCTTCTTCTGTGAGTAAAACGGCTGAAGCTGTGGACCCAGCGGACCAACCAGTCATCATCAGACTTTGCATCACGATGAAGTTCCGTCAACAGCTTGGATGCCATCGGAAAATTATTCTGTCAAACAATTTTAAACTGTCAGTCGATGCGCGTTCATGAGAGTACCAATACGTATGCGTGTGATGATGCTGTAGACTTAGAACCCGTAGAGCTGATGTAGAACCTGGATGCGCTGCGCCTTGTTTACAAGCAGAGGAATACACATGCATGCATTGTGGTACTTTGTGAAAGTGCGTTGACTGACACGGAAGAGAATACATAATGACAGAATTTTCATTTTTGGGTGAACTATCCCTTTAACACATCATATTCAGCTTGCTCCTAATTCTTCTGTTTCTGTGGTTTAAACACAAAAATATGAGCTTAAGTGATTACTGATGTTGAAAACGATTAGATGTTTATTCATTTTTCACCCTACAGAAGTAAAAAGTAAGATACTAGGCACCAGCCCTGATATTTAGTAAATCCTGAGCACCTGTTTCCATGCACTGTCTGCCATTTGTAGTTTCATGTTGAACTTGCAGTTCTTCACCAGCACTCCAAGTTCCTCTCCACTCGCCTGCTCTGCACCATCCACCTCCATGCTGTTTTCAGGGGTGGAGGTCAGTCTCTCCAGAATCTTATCCAAGAAGAAACAACTAAAAACAGATGAAAGCAAGAACGGGACATTTTCTCCACAATTAAGCTTTATAGCATTACAGACATTTCAAGGTGAACTAATTCTTCACTACAACAGCACTAAGAAATCTGTATTCCCAGTAAGGTGTTGTAAATTAGCCGACTCACCGAGATGTGATGATGTCATCCCAAACATTCATGGGGTCCAGTTTAGCATCCGGATAGCGGCTGGTCCACCTTCTGGTCATGAACTTCAGAGAACTCACTGAGACTGAGAAAAATCAGATACAGTTACACTTTAAGGTGATGCGGTTACCGTGTAACCACACAATTAATACTGAGCAATATTAATTAACTACATGTACTTACTATAGGTAGGTATACTTAGGGTTACTTAGTTGTAATTTTGCATAATATTCTTTTATGACGATAGTAAGTATATGTAACATGTGACTCTGTCACATTAAAATTATTTAGTCTGCTGGAACCCCACAACATGGTTATAAACCATCAAGTGTTTACCCAACATTGAGAACAATTACTCACCCTCTCCTGAGATATAATTCAGGAAGTCTTGGATCTCTGTCAAAGCTTGGACAGACTGTAGCACATTCAGACGGCTGCGGTTCAGCAGCGGGTTGATACTTGAATAGTTCTATATAATACCATGTTATGTGGGAAAAAATATCAGGTATTTGCATTTCTGACATTATTTGTGTTTGTGTCTGTCTGCATGCCTATATAACACCCCAACTAAAATACATACTTTCTGTGAAACAACTAATTGATTGGTTGGTTTTTCAAAACTGACCTGCATGAAGACTAGCATGCAGTTGTTGGCATAGTATTTGGCCCTGTCATAGTCCTCTTGCAGGATGTACAGTAGACTCAGCTCCTGACTGTAATGGGTCTCCATGATGATCTTGTGCTCTTCTGTCTTCATAGCAGCATCAACAAAGCTGAGCAGATCCTGAGTTCTCTCCCCCAGCTGCAACTGCTTCAACATACTACGCATCATGTACTGCAGGTATGTTTCCTATTAGAGACAAAAACATAAGCAATTACTTCAGGATAAAATATGTGACCCTGGACCACAAAACCAGTCATAAGGGTAAATTTTTCTGAGGGCGCAAAAAAAATCAAAATACTGAGAAAATCGCCTTTAAAGTTGTCCAAATGAAGTTCTTAGCAATGCATATTACTAATCAAAAATGAAGTTTTGATATATTTACGGTAGGAAATTTACAAAATATCTTCATGGAAAATTTTTCCAAAAATCTTCATGATTTTTGGCTATTGCTACAAATATATCCCAGCGACTTAAGACTGGTTTTGTGGTCCAGGGTCACATATTATTTGATAATGGGTGAGATTCCAGATGATACAATGATTCATGGCAAAATAGCCAAAATTAAAACTGCTCAAAATTACTTATAGTACCACATAAAACGGCTCTGTCCACATTTTTTCTAGATTGACAGGTGAGTTGTCGTCAATGTTGACTGTGGCACAATACTGCAGAGATTTCCATTCTGTCAGGTGATTACAGGCCTCCAGTGCAGCAATTTCCCAGAAATCTTTCTCCGTGTTTGTGGGCTCTCCATCGTTCCAGTCTTCTTTGTTCAGTGCCTGAACAAATAATTTTGTTTTTTGAATATGTATTTGTATTTACAGAAATTCAGATACATGTTCTGATATGCAGAAACGGAAAAAACAACTTGCACTGTATAAATCTTGAATATTCATAAATTAGAATTCTCTAATAGGTGTAACCAAGTGATATTTATCGGGTTTTGCACATGAGCACTGGTTGCCACCCATCATAAAAGGGAAAAAGGAAGACAATGACATAGTGTGTAGCTACTACTGCTGCACAAAATCATTTCAGAGGAGATGACAGAGGAAAACAAGGCATGTTTGCATATTGTTTGCGACAAGAAAACACACATCAGTACCTCCTTGCAGAGCTTCACAGCTTCAGCATAATCACTCTTTGCCTCTGCTTGCAGGGCCATGAACGTTATTGACTTTGTGCCAATCTTGCCACTAAAGATTCCCCTGACCACATCATAATCTCCCAAAGACCTGTAAAGTCTACACAGGAATATGAACCAGTAAAGAACTGTTGAGGCTGTGGCATGATAAACTGTGAGTACTTCAGACATTTATGAGGGAGTTTGATCCTACTTGGCAAGGTGGATCCATCTTTCTGTGTCAGGTGGCAGCTCTCGTTTGCCTCGTGCTCGTTTTGAGGGAGGTTCCTCTGACATTCCAGTGCCATGAAGCAAACTCTCCTCCAGTAACAGGATGCCCATGGGCTGCTGCAGACTGGCAAGACAGCTGGCACTGACGAGAGCCGGCTCAACACCAAGAAGGGCCTTATGATGATAACACATGTCCTGTAATGCATAAAATGTGCTTGCATCAGGGCTAGTAATAGAATTAACAAACCCAATTTAAAGATTTTTAATATTCAAATTTCTGCATAAGACTAAGCAAACAATAGCTCTGTTCAACCCTTGTCTTGTTGTCTACTGCCTCACTAGCTTATAAACACACTTATCACTGCACCGTGCACAGTGTGTACACACCTGTACACAAGCAATGAAAGGAGGGAAGTAGACAGTGCTCATGTTGAGGAAGGTGTTCAGGGTCTGCACTAGATCCTTCAGAATGGTTGTTGTTTCTTTACTAGACTTGGATCCCTCCATTTCAACCAGCACCCCAGTGAACAGTGAGCTGAACAGCTGCTTCGCCACTGTGGCATCCCTCTGTAAAACAAATTTAAACAAGAACTGACTTTGTTATAAATTTGTTTATATTTAGTCTATTACTTTCAAACGTGTTGAACACATTGTGAAAATAATCCTGAATCACAGTGAACCTGTGCCAGAGCCTGTAGTGGGGCGATGAGGCTGCTGTACTGAATCTGAATATCAGGAAGATCTCCAACTCTATAGCTGCGGTACAGCGTGACCTGAGCATCCTGACGGATCTTCACATCTGCTCTTCTTTCCTGTAGAACACAGAAAACATTGAAAAACATTGTAAATGATAATGCAAATGTTGATCTATGAAAGAAGACCTACCCTTTCAGTTCTTTGGGACTGAATTTCTTTCTTGGCGAATCTGATGTTCTCCTTCTCTTTATCCTTTATAAATCGCCTCCTGAGCCTCAGAATGTCTGCACGCCGCTCCCGCTCAGCTGTGTGAAAACAAACCAATAGAGTTTCACTGAGGAAGTGCTTGATGCTAGTCAAGTCCAACCTTTGCGAATTGTCAGAAATCAAATGTAAATACTTTTTTTTTGGTGTCTCACCTGCACTCCGACTGTCTGTCTCGTCACTGGCAGCAGTGAGGCGTTTAGAGCCAAACCCTGCACCCACGGCTATCCAAGCAGCTTGGGGGCGTTTGGATCTCTTTTTCTCAAACACCAAAAGTGATGATAAAGAATCAGATGAAAGGGAATAATCAGCCAGTGTGTCCACACTGCTCCCGGTTAACCAGTTGTATGCTGAACGGCGTCCTGAAAAAACAGATGTCTATTATTACACAGAAAGATATGTGAATTGTCATTAGTTAACCTTCAATAAATTTCTCCTCACATCTTTCCAACAAATCTGAGCCTGCTGTTACAAAATCCACTGAACAACACTATGTAAGTAAAAAACTAAAGCTCCTTTTATATTTCATGAGGTACCTGCACCAGGAGCCAGAGTCTGAGAGAACTCCAGGGACGTCTGTGTGGCCCTGACCTGACCCCTCATTGTGGCTGCCTGGCTTCCTGCAGCCTCTGAACCCTGGGTGCCAGAACCCTGGGTGGCTTGGGTCTCCATAAACATCGGCGTGAGGACCGTACTCCGCAAACGCCAGTTAGAGTCTATTGCGTAGTCCTGGAATACATGAATAGAACAGAAAGCACTGAAATTATGGTCTTGAAAAATAACTTTAATTTAAATGAATCAAACACTAGGTATGATTCAAAGACCCAGGGAAAATAAACAGCAGTTCTAACCTGAAACTTGCACTCAGAGAGTGGGAACTCAAACATGTTGCGTGTGTAGTCAGGGCTGCGACTTGTCATCTCGAGAAGCAGATCAGTGGCCAGACTGAGGAACTGTTCTTCAATGCGGGACGAATACAGTGACTTCAGCACCACAAGCATGCGCTCCAGTGTGTCTGGAGGTAAACGGCTCTCATGACTCCAGAAATTACGCACATAAAGCCTAAAGAGAAATCAAATAGAAATGTGAGAAATTACTTTAGGGGTGTGTTGATATTGATTTGTGAGAAGATTCAAATACACAAATGCTTATGCTTTTGTTTAAAATTGTGAAAAATCAAAGTGAAATTAAAATGATCAAGCAGGTATCTAGTCTGCTTACTGTAAGCCATGGTTTTCATCTGTCAGCCCCTGAAGGAGAGTTTCTCGAGCTACACTGAGCACTTCAACAGAGGTGCCGTCTTCCATGCTCTCAGAGTCACTGCAAACACATTATTATTTTAATGCACACTACTGTTCAAAGGTTTGGGGTCACTGTCAGTAAGATTTTTTTAAAGAAATAATTTATTCAGTACTGATGCATTAAATTGATCTTTTACATGGTTGCAAAATTAATTATCACCATTTCCACAAAAATGTTAAGCAGCACAATTGTTTTCAACATTTATAATGATAAGAAATGTGTGTTGAGCACCAAATAAATATATTGACTAAAAAATCTTACCGACCCCAAACTTTTGAATGGTAGTGTACATTTAATCTGACATGAAACATTCAATTAAGAACAAATGAAGAACAATCTGGGAGACTGAGATAAAACAGGACTGGATAAGGATTGTAGAGTCAGTTACCTGTAGTTGTCCTGGATCCACATCAGGATGTCATACATTCTCTCTCTGCAGACAGGAGACGGGTGAGACACAAATGCTGTGACAGCTCCCAAAATCTCCTTCAGCTCTTCTGGTTTCAGACGTGCCAGGATCTTATGTATGATATCCAGACAAACCCGCTGCCTGCCTTCATCTCTGAAAGACACAGCATGTGACGTGAAGAGGGTTTATCTAAAATATTTTACATTCACAGGCATAAAACCTGAAATAACACATGGAAATGAAATGAGATCCAGCAGTATTAACGGACTTGTGGCTCATGATCTGTGAGAGGCCTTTGGTCTTCAGGTACAGGTAGATTTCAGGGAAGACATCAGCACGACTCAGCACACATTCAAGGCAGTGTGTCTCCAAAATGTCATGCAGCTTTGGTCTATTGCGTAGTCCTGGAATACATGAATAGAACAGAAAGCACTGAAATTATGGTCTTGAAAAATAACTTTAATTTAAATGAATCAAACACTAGGTATGATTCAAAGACCCAGGGAAAATAAACAGCAGTTCTAACCTGAAACTTGCACTCAGAGAGTGGGAACTCAAACATGTTGCGTGTGTAGTCAGGGCTGTGACTGGTCATCTCGAGAAGCAGGTCAGTGGCCAGACTGAGGAACTGTTCTTCAATGCGGGACGAATACAGTGACTTCAGCACCACAAGCATGCGCTCCAGTGTGTCTGGAGGTAAACGGCTCTCATGACTCCAGAAATTACGCACATAAAGCCTAAAGAGAAATCACATAGGAGTGTGAGAAAATACTTTAGGTTCATGTTTTGTGATTGATTTGTGAGAAGCTTCAAATTCACAAATGCTAATGCTTTTATTTAAAATGATGAAAAATCAAAGTGAAATTCAAATGATCATAGCAGGTAACTAGTCCGCTTACTGTAAGCCGTAGTTTTCATCTGTCAGCCCCTGGAGGAGAGTTTCTCGAGCTGCACTGAGCACTTCAACAGAGGTGCTGTCTTCCATGCTCTCAGTGTCACTGCAAACACATCATGATTACATGTACACTACTGTTCAAATGTTTGCGGTCACTCTCAGTAAGATAAAAAAAAAAGATTTATTCAGCACAGATGCATTTATACATTTATTGATCTTTTACGTGGTTACAAAATTTATTATGGTTTCCGCAAAATTATTAACCAGCACAACGGTTTTCAACACTGATAATAAAAACAAATGTTTATGGAGCACCAAATCAGCATGTCAGAATGATTTCTGAAGGATCATGTGACACTGAAGACTGGAGTAATGACTGCTAACAATTCAGCCTTGCCATCACAGGAATAAATTACATAATAACTGTAATAATATTTCACAAATTATTGTTTTTATTGTATTTGTATTCAAATAAATGCAAGCTAGGTAACATAAATCTTACCGACCCAAAACATGTGAATGGTAGTGTACATTTAATGTGTGATGAAATATTAAAATGTAAAACATTCAACTGTAAAAGTCAAACAACCTGGGAGACTGAGAGAACAGCACAAAATCAGTAGAAACACATTAGACAGAGGAAATGAACAGCAAAAGTCATTTGTGTGATGAATGATGAAAAGGAGTAAAACAGGACTGGATAAGAGGAGGTTTGTAGAGTCAGTTACCTGTAGTTGTCCTGGATCCACATCAGGATGTCATACATTCTCTCTCTGCAGACAGGAGACGGGTGAGACACAAATGCTGTGACAGCTCCCAAAATCTCCTTCAGCTCTTCTGGTTTCAGACGTGCCAGGATCTTATGTATGATATCCAGACAAACCCGCTGCCTGCCTTCATCTCTGAAAGACACAGCATGTGACGTGAAGAGGGTTTATCTAAAATATTTTACATTCACAGGCATAAAACCTGAAATAACACATGGAAATGAAATGAGATCCGGCAGTATTAACGGACTTGTGGCTCATGATCTGTGAGAGGCCTTTGGTCTTCAGGTGCAGGTAGATTTCAGGGATGACATCAGCACGACTCAGCACACATTCAAGGCAGTGTGTCTCCAAAATGTCATGCAGCTTTGGCAGCAAATAAAAAACAGGATTTACAAATCTGTGAAATATAAAGACAAACAATATTTAAATAAATATCCTTAAGCCTTTACTGGATAGGACTTAATAGGGGGAAAAAAAAACTAATCTCACCGATCCACTAAGGGTGGGAAGTGTTTGGACACTTTGCTCAGGCAAACAATAAATGTGTCATCCACCTCCTTCTTCCTCAAATCCATGAGCTTTGTAATAGTAATATTCAATAAGGGCCCTTTATTTTGCTACAACAAAGAAAAACAACAATTAGTTACTGGATACTATCTAAAGTAGGGCTGCACGATTATGACGAAAATCATAATTGTCGATTATTCCCTTGAAATTCTAATTGCGATTATTAATTGCGATTATCACAATCTACATTGAATGATGTTTACACCATTGGTTGAAGCAACTGCATGCCGTATTTTTATATGAAAATAAACAAGCTGAAAACACTAACTGAAAAACTTTTATTGCTTTTCTATAGTATTAATCCTCAAATTTCAACTATACATTGGATTCGTTTCTTCTTTAAATAAAAAAGTACAAATAAGCATGATATTATAATGTTATACTAAAACTAAAATTAAAACAATGGAAAAACCCTTAAGATAACCTGTAGCAAGAAAAAAACACACATCTTAAGCATGCAGAATAACATAAGTGGACTTTAAACGATTAATTGCACCTTTGAACGATTATGTAATTGTGGCATCCATAATTGTAATCGCGATTAGAAATTCGGTTAATTGTGCAGCCCTAATCTAAAGACAACCTTCACATTTACAATATATTGCAATGTCAAACAAAATATCTCAGGTGACAAATGTGATACAGTTTGGCAGGAACAAACAACCACACATACATTTTCTCTCTCAGTCATGTAGTTTAGGATTAAGCCAATGATCTCAGCAGCTGCCGAGTAAACCTCTTTATAGCTGATGAATGACAAGTTGTTGGCTAGTGACTGAAAGTATCTGTAACAGGAATTGACAGAGAACAACATTGGTTTTAAATTTAAAGTAATAATTTCAGGGGGAAAAAAACATGGAAAACATTTGTATGATATAATATATATATATATATATATATATATATATACAGTATATATATATATATTAAACAAAATGTTTACCTGTTATGCTCAATGCCACATGCAGCATCATAAGGAGGAAGATTATTGGCCATTACAATGCCTAAAAGCTGTAGACCAACAGAGTTATCCTTGCTGTTGGGATCCATTCCAGCAAATCGTTCATATATCAAACTATGGGCGGAAAAAGAGAAAAAATATCTATGCTTTTGCATCCATTAATCTATGCATGGTCATTTTAGCATAGAATCACAAAAATCTAAGCCTAGATTTTCAGAAATATTCTCACAAATTCTGAAATATTTTCACTTATTTTACAAACTATTGGTAATAAATAAAGTACTTTGGTCCGTTTATTTTTCATACTCATAGGGTATTGTGAGGCAGTCCTTCCAGCATTCCACAACCGTGCGGATAATCTCGAGGCTGTGGTGGAAAAGAGCCCGTTTGGAGTGGAAGCAGTTCTTAACCAGAAACCCAAGGAGCCTATTGGCCAAAACTTCATCTCTTGTGCTACCCTAAACAGTAAGAGAGATAAAGCAATAAAGCGACAATACAATATATTAAAATGTATGCAATGTATATATAAATCTTTGCAAATAAAATACACTGAGAATCAATAAATGAGTAAAAATACCATCTAATACAGACCTTTGGTGTGGCCACACTTGCCCATGAGAGGACAGTCACCACAATATCCACTACCATAAAGTGAATGCCCTCTCCTCCATTGCTACTGGAAACCACCAGCTGCACCAGTGGGCCCAGCCAATGCTTTGCATATGGACGAAATATCTGGACATGAAGATGTACATTAAAAACACCACATATACAACATATCAATAAATCCAGAGAGAAGCAAAGAGAACCCTATGAAGCAGTACCTCTTCAGTATTGATGATAAGTTTGGCTATGAAGAGTCTAATGTTTAGCGGGGTGGATGGATTGTCCAGCTTCCCCTGCAGGAATTTCATCCAGGGAGGAAGATCACTAGGTGTCACTCCCTAAAACAAAACATAGAAAATCTCCAGCAGTGTTCTGACTCGAAATCTAGGCAAAACTGTTCATGCCCTTGAGGTCATGCTGAGACTGACCTCCTCTATTTTAGGGGTGATGTTGTTCCTTTGCATGAGGCGCAGCAGTGCCGTCATATTTGCCATACACTCATGTTGATTCAGCTCATCCATCTCAAGCTCCAAAGTCTCATCCTGAGACACAACTTCCTTATGCTCCTAAAAACGCGGACAGTTAATCATAAAAAGAAAGAAAATCTTCTGAAACCTATAACTTCTGCTTTACAAAAAAAAAGGAAAAAAAAGAAAAAAAAACAACAACAACAAAAACACTAATCTCTCCTGAGACTTACCCGAGTCCTGCTGGAGCTGCTCCCACCTGAAGGATTCTGGGAGTTGTAGGAGAAGCTCTGAACTCCAGTGGAGAAGTCAAACTGACTCATCTCCTCACTGAGACTGCTGTCTGCCATGTAGGACTGGGAGGAGAGATATACAGGTGCATCTGAAAAAGAACGAGATAATGAATATGACTTATAAGAGAGCAGATGGCATCTATAAAAGCACCTTGTGAATTTACGCTAAAAGCAGTCTGCCCTGGAATATACATGACAACAACAGCATCTTCACAAATATTCATGGATGGCATCTATCTTTCTAAACATGTAGTTAACAAGCTTGTAGATATCTCAGACAACTCACCTCCATTTTCTCCACTCACTTCTTTCCTGATCATGACATATTTCTTTTTCCTCTCAATAGGGACCTTTCAACACAAGGAAACATGATACAATACAACACAACACAAAACAAATACAAATATAAAATATTTAAAAGCTTTACTTACATCAATCTCTATAGGAAAGTTGTACACCCTTTGTGTATCAATGAGGTTGTCAAATATGAATTGATTCTGGGGTAAAAAAAAAAAAAAATCAAACAACAAATTAACTTACTTTCTATCAGAGAGAAGGACACACTTGAAATTCTAAGTCTGTTTTACTAGGAATGTGTGTGCGCCTTTCTTATGCAACATATAAGAGAAAGAACATGAACACAAATTAACAAATATCATAAATATACTGTAAAAATTTAAATGTAACAAACAAAATAATAAATGTAACAAACATGAACACTGCTTATACACGATACATATTGAATTCTTAGTGTGCACAGTCACAGACCTTGTCAGGTTTCTCAGTGAAGAGGAAGCCCTGATAGAATTTGGTCTCATTGAAGCTGCAGCTGATCACGGCGATGGTACAATTATAAGCAGCACAGTGATACTGTCTCCGCAGCTCCAGCAGAACTGTCTCTCCTGCCATGTTCTCAGTGAAGGCCTCAAAACACGATCTGACATATATTGTATTGCTTAGGTTCAGATATTAAAATTAAATCTACTTCACAATTATGGCATTTTTTTGCAGTTTGCTCCTGAATTCCTGAGTGTTAATTGTATTACTTATCAACATATGTAAAGGATTAAAAAAAAAGACTTACTTTCTTGTGTAGACACTTGTCTGAGTTATCTCTCAGAATGTATTCCATAAAATAATTTGGTCACACTTTATTTTAAGGTTCAATTCTTGCTATTAACAAACATTAACTACAACTTTTGCCTCAATAAACTCCTAATTTTGCTGCTTATTAATAGTTAGTATAAGGTAGTTGTTAAGTTTAGGTATTGGGTAGAATTAGGGATGTAGAATATGGTCATGCAGAATATGTGCTTTATAAGTATTATTAAACAGCCAATATGTTAATAATAGGCATGCTAAAAGCAACTAGTTAATGGTGAGAATTGGTCCCTATACTAAAGTGTTACCAATAATTTTTAATTGTGGGTGAATCATATTTTCTTCCCAAATGTGATGAAACGACTTTATAAACAAGAAAAGTGCTCGATTTGTCCATCAGGGATTGACTGAAATATTGTTGTTGTTGTGCTATTGCTGTGATGTCATGTGAGTGATAGGTTGCTGGAGGGAAGGGATTATGGTCCCACCATTGTGCTGGTAAATACGTAATCAGAGAAGAGATGTCATTGTGAGGGGGTGAAGTTTTTCATTAAAGATTACTAGGGCACATTATAAATTATTTAAAGTTAAATAATTTATAATAAATACTGAAATAGTCAATAAAGAATTGTCCATTTTGATTTCATATTGACTTTAAGGATGTTTAAAAGTAATAAAATTGTGTCCCAGTCTTCTGAAGCAAACCATCACTCTTAACAACATAAAACGGGCACAAGAGTGTTAAAGACACTGAATCACCGGACCATATAAAGTGTAATACCTGCTCTTAAAGGTAAAAAAAGAGAAAAATGAATATTTTAAATATATACTTGAGGAGGTTCTTGGAAAGCTCATTGCCTTCTGCACTGCCTGTGCCACAGAAGGCCTGGTTGATAGCTGAGTTTTTAGAATAGACTTCCTCTTTAGACAGACGAGAGTATAACACCTCCAGCAGCTTACAACAGCCACTCTTCATCATAATCTGACTCTCAAACACTGACTCAACAGACTGGAGGACAGATGACAGGAAACATACATTAACAGTATGTCTGAATGAAAGCGCAAAAACATGTTTTTAGATTTGAACAGATCTACCTGAATCATATTTAGTATACTTTAATAACCCGATGTAACGCACCTTGGTGAAGAGTGCCTGTAGAGTAGTCATGATATCAGAAATATTAGTAATGAAGAACTGAGAGAGTGCTTGAGGGCTGCAGTGAAAAGCCAGTGGCAGCAGCACTCTGTCAATAAGACCCATGAGCATGGAGTTTGAAGGCACATCTTTGGCTTGAAATGACTGGTAGACAGAGCTGAGGAGAAGAACCTGTCTTTCCAAATGGGACCTGACAAAGAGAAAGAATATGCAACATATGCATATTATAAATAAATCTAAGCAACTGTAAATATAGACACATAAAGAAGAATCTTTTTGAACTTACTGGTGAGCAATATTTTGAAAGCAGGTCTGAAAGAGCTCCTCCATGATATGTTTTTTGTCCCGGCACAGAACTCTAGCCATGAGCTTCAATAACAAAGGACTCTGAGACAGCTGCAGAGCCTCTAAAAACTGATGTTATCAAAATGAATGACCAATTATAATTTTACAAAAAAAGAACAAATTTTTTTTTTTTAGTTCTCCCTGTTAACTCCAGCTTTCCTTTATTTCAACAAGGGTTACATTAAGCAGCAAAATGTTGTAAAACTTCAAGTCAATGTTGTAAATGTACTGATTTTAAGTCATAATGAAATTGTGAAAGAAAAAGTAAAACATGGTATCTGTAGAATTCACAGTATATGTACTTGTGAGTATAACCACTTAAGCTGAATAAACGTCAGTGTCTGACATCTAGTTTAAGCATCTCACCTTGCTAATGCAGTCCATGTAGTTATTGCACTGAAGTGATCCACGAGGGAATTCATCTGACTGCATAGGGAAATGTGTAGCCACCAGTGTCTCCAGAGCCCTCCTGAGCTCCTCCAGGGGCATGCTGGATAATGTAGAAAAGAAGGGCAGCATGGTCAGAGCCTGGCTCTAATAACAGAGAGTGAAGAGAAGAAAGTGAAATCAGAGAAAGATGAAGAAATCAATATATACTCCATAAGCCAAAACATGCACTAAAAATCACTTTTTCCAGTTTTGGTCTTTACCATATTACAGTGTCAATATAATTTTGTCACTACAAGAATGAGTATAATGTATAACCAGTGCACATTTTGGTGCACATTTGCAAAATACAGAGTAAATTTTAAAGTGCCCCTTATGCTATTTCCAATATTGCCTTTCATGCAGTGTGTTATGTAGCTGTATGTGAATGTAAACGATCTTGTAAAGCCGAAAGTGCATGATAAATAAAGTTATTGTCTCCCAAAATAAAGAATCGACTCTGAACAGCCTAAACGAGTCGTTAGTAATTCGAATCCCACTTCCGTGACGGCTACACATCACGGGGTAACACATTTGCATAATTCCCGCCTATATTCTACATTAGCCGGTTGCAAACAACTTGACCCCACCCACAAACATATAATTTTACTGACGACTGCTTCTCTAATCTTGTGAAGTTAAACGCAGGATTCACAAAACGCTTGTTCTTGAAAGATCGCTTAGTACCCAATTTATTTGGACCAGCTGGCTCCACTGAATCAAAATTTGTAAGTATGATAAAGAACAGATGTTTATATTTTCTATCGAGCATTCAAAATACTGAACTATGGCAATGGGCGTACTGTTTCAGACACGCGCTCTACGCGGTAGACCAATCACAACAGATTGGGCCATCTGACCAATCAGAGCAGAGCAAGCTCACGGAAAGGAGGGGTTTAGAGAGACTGAATCTTTGAATTGCTTTGAACGAATCATTTCAGAATCGCTGGAAAATGAGGTGATATTAAATGCATATTTTGAGAAAACAAAAGCGTTTTTTGGCCTTGCATGCATGTAAAGCTATTGTAGGAGACTCCCAAAACAATATTAGGAACCTTAAAAATGGCATAATAGGGGCAGTTTAAAAATATCTGTGCGCTTCAAACTGGAAAAGGTTACCTTGAGATTTAGTGGCATAGATATATCTGTGAGAAGGGCTATGAAAGTAGTGAACACAGCATTGAATGCTGGGTGATCTGTATTGGAGCATACAGAGGAATCGATCTGTAGGGGGGAAAAAATAAAATTAAAATCACATTCATGTACCCATTTTAGCACTTCACAATGCACTGAAAATAAAGTATAATTGATGTGGTACCTGGAGCACTTTGGCAAGCACTGAAAGGACTGAAGTTTTGCTCTCTGGTGAGGCTGCAGGACCCTCCCACCACGGCCTGAGTAAATCCCAGGCCTTGAGCACCTGTTCAGCCAATTGGGACTTTCTCACTGAACGCTCACAGAAACTATGATCCAACATGCCATTCAGCAGAACACTAACCTAAAGAGACAGTCAAACAACTTTACAGATTGCAGTGCTTATGAAGAGAATGGTCAAGCCCCTCTCACTAGCACTTATTTGTAGTATATGTCCAACCAATCAGACAAAGAAAAGCATGTCAGAAAAAACCAAGATATATAGTTTCAGTCATAAGAAGTGAAGAACAACTAGAGTTTTCTGTTAGCTTCACCAGGACTGCAGTTCCTGTCAGCACCGTAAGTCTAAGCAGATCATAGGGGCCATTGGTGTGAGTAGTTTCTTCAATCTACATAGGCTTACAATGCTTTTAGGAAACATAGCCCAATCTTGTTTTATGGCTCACCATGCAGGGGTTCTGGTTGGCTGCAGTCAGCAGCAGCGGCACTGTGTGCTCCACTCTGCGGAGTAACTCAGTATTGAGAGATGTCTGGAAGAGGCTGTAGAAGTACTCTCCGTGAGAGAAGCTGAGGAAGTGAGGATTCAGACTGCCAGAGAGAGGGACGGAGAGCGTACTGGTGTTCAGCAAAAGGCCAACAGTCTGTTCACTCTGAATTGTTTAGGGAAATAAAGACAGGTTTCAAGATTTGATTAATTTAACAGATGCATACAAAAACATAAACAACCACAGAATTTTAATTTTAAAGAATTTTAACTTTAATGTTAGTCCTTCCCTTAGTTTACCTGTCATTCACACCACTTGCCTGATCACCCAAACAGAATGCCAACTGCACAAGTCTGTCAGCCAACTTCCTGCTGCCAACATCCATGGAGGGCAGAGACTTCCTGTCTCTTCCAGGAGCAATGCTTTTATACACACTAGTGAGAAGTTTTGAGCCCAGAGAGCGACCATAACTAGCATCCTACAGAGAACCCGTAAACATCACAACCTAAATGTTAATGTAACCACTGTGTAGACTGAACATAACTACAATAACATTCATTTATTCAGTGTAGGCCTGTCACGATAACAACTTTTTGTTGTGCGATATATTGCCCAAGAAATAATTGCGATAAGCGATATTATTGTCATTTTAAAGACCATTTTATGCCACTGAATATATAATCATGATGTAACAGCAAAATAATGCAAGAAGGCCTACACACTTCCAAATGACAACAAACTTTTAATTTTAAGAATATTTAGATCATGGAAAATAAGTATAAAAATATTAGATACCTTAAA